AGTTCTGTGCCTTTTCAAAGTTGATTTGTTGCCAGAAAAAAAAAAAAGTGGCAAAAAAGGGGTAACTATATTTAAATTTTTAGAAACTCAAGAGACAAAAAGAACTAGGATCTTTTGTTGTAGGATTGGAGAAAAAAAAAAAAACAAAAAACCTAGGATCAAGATAGATACTATGATCTTAAAAAGGAATGTTTTCCTAAGTTCATAAAATGTTCAATCATGCTCCTACCATGTGCGAGTGGTGTTCTAGTGTGGGGAGAGTAGTAAACAAAAGTAAACTAAACAAAGAACATTTTACTCTTATGGATCTTAAATTTTTTTTGAGATGGAGTCTCACATTGTCGCCCAGGCTATAGTGCAGTGGCGCGATCTCGGCTCACTGCAGTCTCTGCCTCCTGGGTTCAATCAATTCTCCTGCCTTAGCCTCACAAGTAGCTGGGACTACAGGTGTGTGCCACCATGCCCAGCTAATTTTTTTGTATTTTTAGTAGAGACGGGGTTTCACCATGTTGGCCAGGATAGTCTCGATCTCCTGACCTCATGATACACCCGCCTCGGCCTCCCAAAGTGCTGGGATTACAGGTGTGAGCCACTGTGCCCGGCCAGATCTTACACTTTTATGACAGTAACATCATACTAAGAAAGATCTGTTAATGCACTTTACAACTCTAATCTCAAAGCAGGCTTAATCACTATTTAAAATCCTAGGACCGAGCACAATATGTAGCCATTTATATAGGTCAACAAATATCTACTAGAGTTGTGTATGTTGTTGGCATACAGTAACTTTGGCCTGGCTGTTTTCAGAAAAATGCTTAAATCCACTTGGGATTGACCAGAATGATGGTCTAGTCTCTGACGCTTGTCCACAAGGCTTCTGCAGGTATTCAGATGCAAACCCCTCATTTATTCCCCTTGCTCAGGATCCTTGCTTCAGGAAGGCAATTAAACAAGACATTCCATCTCTTACCATTTCTTTTTTTTGTTTTTTGAGACGGAGTTTCACTCTTGTTACCCAGGCTGGAGTGCAATGGCACGATCTCGGCTCACCGCAACCTCCGCCTCCTGGGTTCAAGCAATTCTCCTGCCTCAGCCTCCTGAGTAGCTGGGACTATAGGCACGTGCCACCATGCCCAGCTGATTTTTAGTATTTTTAGTAGAGACGGGGTTTCACCATGTTGACCAGGATGGTCTCGATCTGTTGACCTCGTGATCCACCCGCCTCAGCCTCCCAAAGTGCTGGGATTACAGGCTTGAGCCACCGCGCCCGGCCCATCTCTTACCATTTCTAATGGGCATGTTGAGTGGCAGGTAGCTCAGAAACAGCAACCTTGATTCCAGCGGACCAAAAAAGGCTATAGTCAAATGGATAGACTTAGTTTCCCTATATCAAACTGTACTAGAATGTTACCTCAATCCTCACAATAACCCAGGAGATAGACTTTATAATCTTCATTTTACTGATAAGGAAACTGGTTGGAGAGGTAAAGTGACTTGCCCTACAGCTAATCAAGTGACAGTTAGCATATGCATTCAGGACTGTTCAATTCTGTACCTTTTCTCCTCTTAGCGTCTCTCAGATTGGGTAATGAAATGACTTAGAACCAGTATAATACCCCATGGATATAATGAAAGACCTTTAACTCATTCTAGAAGATTCTAATCTTCTACTTCAGAAACTTGGGTGTTTGAGACTGAGTCTCATTCTGTCGCCCATGCTGGAGGGCAGTGGCGTGATCTCAGCTCACTGCAAACTCTGCCTCCTGGGTTCAAGCAATTCTGTGCCTAATCCTCCTGAGTACCCGGGATTGCAAGCACCTGCCACCATGCCTGGCTAATTTTCGTATTTTCAGTAGAGATAGGGTTTCACCATCTAGGCCAGGCTGGTCTTGAACTCCTGACCTCATGATCCATCTGCCTTGGCCTCCCAAAGTGCTGAGATTACAGGCATGATCATGAGACAAAATGGTGGGGGAAAAAAAAGTCTCAGAAGCAGTTTGTGTTTCCAGGTCACTTGAATACACTTTTATTTATTTTTAAAGATGGGTTTCACCATGATGGGTAGGCTGGTCTTGAACTCCTGACCTCAGGTGATCCACCCATCTTGGTCTCCCAAAGTGTTAGGATTACAGGCGTGAGCCACCGTGCCAGGCCTTGAATATACTTTAAGGTATAATGGCATGAGACCACCCATAGATCTTGTCTAGTTGCTTATCTAATTATATTCAGTCCAAGAGGCTTTGAGGGGATATATTTTAGTCATTAGAACATACTTAGAATTTAGGCTAGCCTGCTTACAAAATTAAGACAAATTCCTCTATACAGATTTTTAGAAATTCAGATTACTTTTACTTAAAAAAACTAAATTATAATTTTAAAAAAGTTGCTAATTCCATAGGACCATGGGATATAAAAAACAAAACAATGTATCCACAGAATGTTTTGAGATTTGTTTAACAGACAAAGTACACCTAGAGAACATAAAAATTCTTTATTTAACCTAATCCAGCCAGTATTGAGATAGTTTGTATATTAAAAACAAGACATTTAAAAAACGGAAGAGTTAGCAAGGCAGTGACTAATTAAGTCACTAAGTTTAATTTTATATTCTTCACAGTCATTTCATAATCATGTAATGATAAACAATATTTTCAGCCACTTTGAATGGAGATGAGTTAACTTTTGAATAGAATTCTACTAATCATTGAATTTTATAAAAGAGGCTTAAAACACTTAAGTTTCTAGAAATAACACAGTAAAGCAATATGAAAATAAACTGGAAAATATACCCACCCATCCCCAAAATCTGTATCATCTCTTGAGTTTGTCCCCTAATGCCTTTCTTTTACTTCTTCACTCACTTTTCCTAGAGTACAAACAGATTACTCAGCAATTAAGAAACAACTACTGCTCTGTAGGGGCCATTTTGAGCCTAAAGTGCCTTGTTCCTTTAATCTCAGTTAATCCTACAAAGTCTTCTGAGATAAATATTACTTGCATTTCAAAGATTAAGAAAACTGCAGCCAAGAGGAAGTCAAGACCGTTAGCCAAAATCATAGAGTTATCCATGACTTGAACCCAGGTCTATCCAACTTGAAGTCTGCCTATGCTCTTTTATTACTTCACGGTCAGGTAGGTCACCTTCATGGAAAGACAGGCACGTGGTATTTCTTGAGCTATTAATAAGGCTCTTTAGCAGGCGTCCCCAAACTTTTTACACAGGGGGCCAGTTCACTGTCCCTCAGACTGTTGGAGGGCCGCCACATACTGTGCTCTTCTCACTGACCACCAATGAAAGAGGTGCCCCTTCCTGAAGTGAGGTGGGGCCGGATAAATGGCCTCAGGGGGCTGCCTGCTCTTTAGGTTTAAAAGTGTTCAATCCCAGGGCTAGAGGTCATTCTGGTCCTCAGGCACTTGCAGTTCCCTCCGCACAACCCTAAAAAACCCCTCCCTCCTGCCCCGAAAGGATTAGAGTTGTTGTTCCCCGGCCTTCATTAGCCCAGATCCCTATAAACCCGAACAGCTACTCCCCACATCAAGGGCATTAAAAGTGGCAAATGGGGAACTGCGTGCTTGCATAACTTTAGTAAAGGCTGCCTAAAAACTGTTCTAAATAACAAAATTATGCAAGATATGTCCATTTAATACAACTTTTCACATTGAAAAAAGAAAAGCCAATGTTTTATAATTACAGCCATATAATCTAAGTTTTTAAAATATATAATCATAGATTTCATATTTCCCCTTCAGTACTGTAGTTGTTTTTTTTTTTTTGTAGTAGTGTTTTTTTTTTTTTTTTTGAGACGGAGTTTTGCTCTTGTTACCCAGGCTGGAGTGCAATGGCGCAATCTCGGCTCACTGCAACCTTCGCCTCCTGGGTTCAGGCAATTCTCCCGCCTCAGCCTCCTGAGTAGCTGGGATTACAGGCATGTGCCACCATGCCCAGCTAATTTTTTGCATTTTTAGTAGAGACGGGGTTTCACCCTGTTGGCCAGGATGGTCTCGATCTCTTGACCTCGTGATCCACCCGCCTTGGACTTCCAAAGTGTTGGGATTACAGGCGTGAGCCACTGCGCCTGGCCCTGTAGTCGTGTTCGTAATAAGGCTCACTGTCAAATCTTCTCTTCCTCTCCAAATACAACTTTGAATGTTCACCATTCAAATAAACATCATGTAACTCAAAATTAAGACATTCATATTACAGAAAAGTATCAGTCTTTAATTACTAAAGTTAACATATATTATTGCAAACTAACATAGCTCAATCTATATTTGCTACACTCCTAAAGTGGCCACTTATCAATAAGGGGAAACATTTACTATTGTCATGCATTAGATGCTGTGAACAAGAAAATAAATAGGTTTTTAAAAATATCTCTTAAAAATTTAATGAAAATAACCATTCAGGTTAAAATGGCCAATCTATTGAAAATGGCTTAAATAATTGCTTTTGAAAAATGAACACAAAACTAGTCAAACAGTGATTAAGGTGCTAGCTTCATCAATATGACAAGCAATTAAAATCTAAAAACATTAGTGTTGGTTTTCTATAATAAACTTAAGCCAAAAACAATGAACTCAATATTTACTCAAGACCTCTTGTTTTCATACTTTTCTCCTCATTAATATAAAAGCACAGAGCTCAAGGCTTCACCTTGGTTTATTCACTGCTGATTTTCTATCCCCTGAAACGAGACTGTAAACTCTGTAAGAGCTTGGACCAAGTCTGTCTTGTTCACCACTATTTCCCACAGCACTCTGCACAGTGCCTGGGAAATAGAAGGTGATCAACAATATCTCAATAACTGAATCAATGAAAGAGGAAAGAAAACTATTTTTTTGTAAATCATTCTCTGCTCAAACTACTATAAACAGGGAGCTCTAATTTCTAGAAATATGGATTTAAAAAACTTCAAAGATGAAAGGACCTGATGACTGACACACACCCCCAACATTCACACAAACCCCAAGACTCCATGAGTCAAAATTACTTCATGAAGTATGAGATGTCAACATTATATAAATAAAATTTAATAGCGAAAAAGTGATCTGGAAGCCCTGTGAATTTTTACCCTACACATTTTAGAGGACATCACATGGGTTAAAGAAAATACCACAAAATCTCATTTGTTCAGATAATCGTTTGAATGTTTACATACATTTTTGGTTATTTATTTATAACTAATTTAATTTACATTTCCTCATATTAACATAGCCTCTTATTTAGTATGTAATCAAATTATGTCAGTGAGAAAAATCCTTATAGTACCTTCATTGAGTTGCTGATTCTAAGAAAACAACTAGACATGAACATGTACAAAAGAGGCATTTGAATAAAACAGCATGTCCATTTTTTTAATATTTGCAGTTTGATCTTTACATTTCTGTCTGGAGAAAATATGAACAAAACCCAGGTTTATCATGCTAAGATAACAGTTCATATGACTGCCATAAAAGTAGTACATACAAACAATGAAAACAAATCACATCCTTAGGTTCCGTGATTACCGAGATGATTTCCCTTGCCCTAAGTGCTTTATTATATTTCTTAAAAAATACAGGAGCAGCAGCTTATCACAAGTCTTCACAAGTGCATTAATGATGGAATCAAAACAACAAAACAGATTCATAAGAATGAGAGGACTGCAGGACAACCAGAAGTCACAGTTTTATGCTTCTTCTTGTTCTGGATAATTTAGAATTTTGCGGTGTGCCTGTCGTAAATATTGCTGCTGTTTGAAGTAAACTTTAAATGCTCCTTTTATGGCAACAAAAGCAATTCCACCCTAAAATAAAAAGGAAAATTAGCTTTTTATAATGCAGATTTACAGAAACATAATAATAAAAATAATTTTATTTAGATCACAAAAGACATAGGTTTTGACACTAAACTAATTCAGATGACCGCAAATGAAATAGTTTTCCTTTTCTACTAGGAGATGAGACAGGGAGAGAGAGACTACACACTGTTACTATAGGTAACAGAGGACAGAGATGCGTTCTCCATTATCCTTTCTGACTAGTATTTCTTCCATGTAGTTCTACATATACTTTGATATACAAAGAAGAATGCTAGGGCACTATGTGCACACTGCCACCAGAGGGGAGAAGTGGGAATAACAATAGTAGCAAACATGGTGATTACTATATGCTAAGACTTATATAATCCTCACAATAATCCTGAAGTAGCTATCATTACCATCACCATATTACAGGAAGAAAAAGTCCAGACATTTGATTTAGATTTCATAGCAAGGCAATTTCTGTGATGGGATTTAAACCAGGTGGTCTGACCCTAGAGCAAAAGCTCTTCACTATAATTCCACTGGCAAGAAGGACAGGTGTGATGATTCACGCATATGCCAGGAGAGGAATCACCTACAATATAGTTCCAAAAGGCCTGAACTGCTGCAGTGGTTCTTCCTCTTTTTATTTCCACTCAAGCTACTGAATGATAGTGAGGCTGAAATAGAGTCTTAATGCATAGGAGCCACAGACTGAATATTTACACAGTTCCCCATCTTTTAAAAATGAAAACAGTTCATTCTCTATTGCAAGGTAATATAAGTAATATAAAAGCCATCTTACCAAGATTGTCCTTTGTAAATTAGAGTTAACACTACTGAACATCAATTTACCAACTATTGTAGCAATAGTAGGAAAGACAAGGGCTCCACACAAAATTCGAGTAGCAGAGACATGATCTGCTAAAGGATTAGCCTCAGCTGGAATTCGAGGAACAGGACAACCAATCCCTAGAGGAAAAAAATGCAGTGCATTAGTGCTAATAAATCAGAAAAGCTAGAATATCTTCAAACATTGCTAAAAAGGCATGTTACAGTTCTTCTATAAGATCAATTTGGTATGCACTTTACAACCACAATTCAGGGCCTTACCTGGAAATATACTATTTAAAATTTGTAGTTTATTTGAGTATTTGCGCCATAGTCTAAGCACATAGTCCTCCCAGCGAATCATCTTGCCTAATATCAGCATGACAGGAATAGTAGGAAGTCCAATTAAAAGGAATAAAGGATCAGCTCTTTCCATAACGTCTAGACCTTCTTTATGACCAACAACCTGTGAAACAGATAGCATGTTAGAATTACTTCTTTTTCGTTTTTCTTTTGAGACGGAGTTTCGCTCTTGTTACCCAGGCTGGAGCGCAATGGTGCGATCTCGGCTCACCGCAACCTCCGCCTCCTGGGTTCAAGCAATTCTCCTGCCTCCGCCTCCCTAGTAGCTGGGACTACAGGCGTGCGCCACCATGCCCAGCTAATTTTTTTTTTTTTTTTTTTTTGAGACAGAGTTTCGCTCTTGTTACCCAGGCTGGAGTGCAATGGCGCGATCTTGGCTCACTGCAACCTCTGCCTCCTGGGTTCAGGCAATTCTCCTGCCTCAGCCTCCTGAGTAGCTGGGATTACAGGCACGTGCCACCATGCCCAACTAATTTTTTGTATTTTTAGTAGAGACGGGGTTTCACTATGTTGACTGGGATGGTCTCGATCTCTTGACCTCGTGATCCACCAGCCTTGGCCTCCCATAGTGCTGGGATTACAGGCTTGAGCCACCGCGCCCGGCAATTTTTGTATTCTTAGTAGAGACGGGGTTTCACCATGTTCACCAGGATGGTCTCGATCTCTTGACCTCGTGATCCACCCGCCTCGGCCTCCCAAAGTACTGGGATTATAGGCATGAGCCACAGCGCCCGGCCGGAATTACCTCTTTTTCGAATGAAGTGTTGCATTTTTTTTCCAGAAGTGTTGCATATTAAGCTCTGGTTTTTTTTTTTTTGAGACGGAGTTTCGCTCTTGTTGCCCAGGCTGGAGTGCAATGGTGCGATCTCGGCTCACCGCAACCTCCGCCTCCTGGGCTCAGGCAATTCTCCTGCCTCAGCCTCCTGAGTAGCTGGGATTACAGGCATGCGCCACCATGCCCAGCTAATGTTTTGTATTTTTAGTAGAGACGGGGTTTCACCATGTTGACCAGGATGGTCTCGATCTTTTTTTTTGAGACAGAGTTTCGCTCTTGTTGCCCAGGCTGGAGTGCAATGGCACAATCTCGGCTCACCGCAACCTCCGCCTCCCGGGTTCAGGCAATTCTCCTGGCTCAGCCTCCTGAGTAGCTGGGATTACAGGCACACGCCACCATGCCCAGCTAATTTTTTGTATTTTTTAGTAGAGATGGGGTTTCACCATGTTGACCAGGATGGTCTCAATCTCTTGACCTTGTGATCCACCCGCCTCCGCCTCCCAAAGTGCTGGGATTACAGGCTTGAGCCACCACGCCCGGCCAAGCTCTATTTTTTAAATAGAAAATGCTTAATTTCAAAAGAATGCAGAAAAAAAAAAGTTTTAGAAATAAGCTGGAAAGCTATCAGTCCTGATTTATTTATAAGAAATGTCTTATTCAAGGGAAAAACAAAGTTCCCAAGCCATTTCATACCACACAGGAATATAAAAGATTTTAAAATGGCTGACTCAGACTGATTATTACAATAGAGGGGCAGGAACCTCTGTTGTGGCTTCTATTCCTTTATTTGATTTGGTTAGACTGGGCTGTGGAACTGGGACGTAATTCTAGGTCCTATTTGTGCTCAAGAAGAACATTTGTTTTCCTTATCTTTCTTCTTGGAGATTAAGCATAGCCAGCCAAGGGGCAGGACTGGCCTTCAACAGATGGCTTGAAAGCTCATTTCTCTTTGGCTCTTTCTTCACTTAGTGGTATGTAAGATGGGGTGTGATGCCTCTGTATGGCTAAAAGTCTACCCTACATACCTAACTCTCCTTAAGTGCACTTCCAAGGTCTAGAACTGAGGAACTGTAGTAGGAGGTCCAGTTTTGGTTACAGATCCCAGGCATTTTTCCCAATCCAGGAACTCTAGGGTACCTATCTATGAGGGTAATGAAGCTAATAAAATCCTTTCCTTACCCTATCCAAGTTTTGGGGTTATTTCTCAATTGGTTTAGATACCAGAAGGCAAGAAGTACAAAATTGGCATTTGTGAATTTCTGTCCTTCCCCTCTCTCCAAAATCCTTTTCACTTCCAGATCAATCTTGGCCTTAAATTTATCACTTTTTTTTTTCTGTTTGTTTCTTGAGATGATGTCTTGCTCTGCTGCCCAGACTGGAATCCGGTGGTGTGATCTTGGCTCACTGCAATCTCCAACTGCTGGATTCAAGTGATTCTCCTGCCTCAGCCTCCTGAGTAGCTGGGATTACAGGTGCATGCCACCATGCCTAGCTAATTTTTGTTTTTTGATAGAGATGGGGTTTCAACATGTTGGCCAGGCTGGTCTCAAACTCCTGGCTCAGGTGATCTGCCCACCTCGGCCTCCCAAAGCTCTGGGATTACAGTGCGAGCCACCGCGCCTGGCCAAAAATGTGGAGAGGACCAAATCTGAGCTATGAACATAGTTCATATTTTCATTTGGTTAATTTATTGAACTAAGATGTAATATTAAAGAGCAGGAGGCCAGCCTCTTCCTAATGGTCAACAATGTCATTGAATTTTATATTCTTCTGTGTCTCCAGGTAAAACTTAACAACTTCCTATCTTGCCTGTGGAAGGTGATCCTTTTGAGTTGTCCTATAGTGAAATGGTCTGGTTCATGATATTTCATAAACTCCAATTCCACAATGGTAGCAAAAGTTGGCTGGCCCAGACGGTTTTACCTATAGATTTTTCAGTAAGTTTATTTATGTATTATGTATTAATTAATTAACTTAAATTTGAGACAGAGTTTCACTCTTGCTGTCCAAGCTGGAGTGCAATGGCATCATCTCTGCTCACTGCAACCTCTGCCTCCTGGGTTCAAGTGATTCTCCTGCCTCAGCCTCCCAAGTAGCTGGGATTATAGCTACAGGCATGTGCCACCACGCCCAGCTAATTTTTTGTATTTTTAGTAGAAATGGGATTTCACCATGTTAGCCAGACTGGTGTCAAACTCCTGACCCCAGATGATCCATCTGCTTCTGCCTCCTAAAGTGCTGGGATTACAGGTATTAGTCACTGCACCTGGCAAAGAAATTCCTTTAAAAAAAAAGGGTCTTGCTATGTTGCCCAGGTTGGCTTTGTACTCCTGGGCTCAAGCAATCTTCCCACCTGACTCTCCTGAGTAGCTGGAACTACAAATGCATGCCACCATGTCCGGCTAGGAAATCATATTTTCATATCATTAAAAATTTTAATATAATGATCATTTTAAAGTTATAACAAAATATGATTAAATATTCTCAAAGTGTTACCAAATAAATTCAGAACATTTGAAAAAATATTTTATTGTGTTATGCGTCCTTTTTTTGGGCTTAAAAATGTAAAGGGACCGGGCACAGTGGCTCATGACTGTAATCGTAGCATTTTGGGAGGCTGAGGCAGGGGGATCACAAGGTCAGGAGATAGAGATCATCCTGGCCAACATGGTGAGACCCTATCTCTACTAAAAATACAAAACTTAGCTTGGTGTGGTGGCATGTGCCTGAAATCCCAGCTACTCAGGAGGCTGAGGCAGAAGAATCGCCTAAACTAGCAAGTCAGAGGTTGCAATGAGCTGAGATCATACCACTGCACTCCAGCCTGGTGACTGAGCGAGACTCTGTCTTTCTAAAAAATAAATAAACAAACAAACAAATAAAGGAGAGTGAATATTCAGGCACAGACCAGAGCAGAGGAAGTTTGTTCCTCAGGGGTAGTAGCAGAAACCTTATAAGGTGTTTAAGAATAAGGAAACAAAAAGGAAGTAGAGGTTGGGCGCTGTGATTCACACTTGTAATCCCAGCACTTTGGGAGGCTGAGGTGCGTGGATCATCTGAGGTCAGGAGTTTGAGACCAGCCTGGCGAAGGTGGTGAAATGCTGTCTCTAGTAAAAATACAAAAAATTAGCTGGGTGTGGTGGCGGGTGCCTGTAATCCCAGTTACTTGGGACGCTGAGGCAGGAGAATTGCTTGAACCAGGGAGGTGGAGATTGCAGTGAGCTGAGATTGCACCAGCCTGAGCAGCAAGAGTGAAACTCCACCTAAAAAAAAAAAAAGGAAATAGGACAAAGAGCAAAGGTCCAGTAGCTCACTTTTTACAACTAAAGTGAAGCGATAACTTGCTTGTGCTCAAGCAAGTTAGAAGTGGGATGAGGCTCATCATTCACACATACATTCATTCAATGAATACTGATTTTTAGCTGGGGCTAAAATAGCAGGTTAAGCAGATGTCTTTTGGAAGTCAGAGAAAATAAAATCAAACAAGTGTACAAATACATATACTGTGAAGAAATAAGGTAGTATAACAACTGCAGTACACCACCTGCTAAAATAGTCATGCTCAGGGGCAATAAATGAAAGTTGAATAAGCAACAGGCCTGATTTAATTTTGCCCATTACAAAGTCAGTCAACCTGTGTATATCATATACATTCTGCTTTCTTGTCCCAAGATTTAAAAACATTATTTTTAAGACTTCAATTTTGGGGTGAGAGCCAGGAATTATATAGAATGTCTAATAATTTGTTATCTATGTATAAAATAAAGGCCTGGCTGGGCACAGTGGCTCACGTCTGTAATCCAAGAACTTTGGGAGGCTGAGGTGGGTGGGTGGCTTGAGTCCACGAGTTCGAGACTGGTCTGGGCAACATGGTGAAATCCTGTCTCTACAAAAAACATAAAAATTAGCAGGGCATGGTGGCATGTGAATATAGTCCCAGCTGCTCAGGAGGCTGAAGTGGGAGGATCACATGAGCCCAGGGAGGTTGAGGATGGAGCAAGCTGTGACTATGTCACTACACCCCAGCATGGGTAACAGAGTGAGACCCTGTCTCAAAAAACAAAGCAAAACAACAATGAAAAACAAATCTACAGAATTGTAGGTTTAGAGAAAAAGGATTTTTTGTTTTTTCCCACAGAAGGGCTAAAAGCTAGACCTTTATAACTAGGTAGGCCTGTAGTTCACTGCTGCTGAAAGGCTAAGAGTTTTATCAAGGTCTGAGCCTTTAAAGCACTATTAGAATCCTACATTAATTAATTAATTAATTAATTAATTGAGACAGAGTCTTGCTCTGTCAACCAGGCTGGAGTGCAGTGGCATAATCTTGG